AAAAAAAAAAGACTTCCTTCTGTATAAAGAGATATATTTGCCACATCAGTCCCTGTAGCACAGTTTTCAAAACCATTCTGTCAAAAATACAGTAATACAAGACTGGCTTTAGTGTCACTAGCTTACACTGCTTCTCATGTATTTAGGCCACCTGTCATTACTGGTACTGTATCATGCAATAAAAGTCATCAAAGGCTTAGTCTAGTGTACCGGTAAGCTAGTGGCACTGAAGCACTTTTCACAATCTCAACGTACATTTGAATTGCAACACACAGATATTTCTAGAGTATTAACTATTGAACCCTTTTATTATTTTTTAAAAAAAGAAACAACTACTTACAACCATTGAAGAAAAAAATTGCAACAAAAAATGTAAAAATTGACCGTCTCCAACTTGTCCCCTTTACTATTAACAATGTGACCAACAGATCTGTGGCACGGACACAGTACAAAGAGTTGTCATGGCAATGAGTTTGGCTGATGCAAAGGTCATTGTGCAGGGTCAAAGGGCAAAATCAGTGGTCCATGTTACCCCCCAACTGCAGGGCTCCACTCCACCCACACAATTTTAAGGAATTAGAAAAAACAGGGGAACTACCAGAAAGTGCAAAATATGAAGAAGGCAGCTTTTAGCTCCTTCAGCATGGAGTAAAACATTCAATTTTGAGCTTTTCTATTGGACTTGAATAGCCTGCACATTAAAAAAAAAAAAAAAGTTTTCTATAGAAACCCAATTTCTTAAAGTCCAGAAAGCATGCAGCTGGTTAATGTTAACAAAAGACCTTGACAGGAACATGTAAACTATATTGAATGTCATGCTTGGGCCTATCTGCCAGCAATATTGTAGAGTTGTTTCATTAAAAGTGAATACTGTACACTGAATATGGGATAACTTTCTGCAGCCTTCATCGTTTCACACAGTACATAGAATTTGAATCTAGGGAAAGAACATGTCCTGCTGTCACACTGCTGAAGATGTCCCTGTGCAATCTCTTTCGTTGAGTCCTTATGAAGCTACAAGTCACAAATCCAAGATTCTGCTCCCTGAGGACACGTTATGTGAGACATAGCACTGTTTTAGTTTTCTGCCTATCCTGAATGCTCTGTGAAACTTAACTTTAAATACCATCACGTAACAATCACAAAAACTTTTGCTAAAGGCCGTATATACTAATAGAAAGACAGTGGTGCTTCGACATTCTGAAATGCTCTGAAAACCAACTTTTCCAATACTAAATACAACAAAATAACCTTCATAAAATATAACTTTTCTCCATTTACACTTTTTTAAAGGATTAGTATCCTATGCTTTTCAAGCACAGGAATCTGTGAAATAACTCCTAACATGGACAGATTTTTTTTTTTTTTTAATACATAACTTAAGAGACTGGAGAGTTTTAACTCAAGTCCAGTCTCCAAACAAGGAATATTCTTGTTTACTTTAAAAATGGAAACAACATATAGTTCCATTATAATTGTTAAAAAGTTAGCTTTACAAACATGGGAATTTTAATTTAAAAAAAAATTCTTAACAAAACTATACAGTGTACAAATTACTGTCTACAAGGTAGGCGGTTCATTAAGAAGACCTTTCGCTCTTCTCACAACTTGCAGCTTCACAGATTCATTCACATATTTTTTTAATGGAGCTGCCCACCCGAACATTACCCGATAACTATATTGCTATAATTAAGATTTTTGCCATGTCTTTATGTACAGTCTCCTTCACTGCCTTTTATTTTTTTCCTTAGACAAGCCGCAAATGCTCACGTCACTCCAGGGGAAACATGCTTCAGAGGCACTGGGAGTGCTGGGCGGCAGAGCAGCACAGAGGCTGGACAGTGCCACGGAACTGGTGGTTGCAGACACCACCCCCTACTCATGCCCATGCCCTTGGGTAACCTTCACCGTCCTGAAGCTCTGCAGTTCTGGGTAAGGGAGGGGCGTGCAAGACCTGCAAAAGTGGGGCCCTTCGTCAGAATATACTTCCTGGTACACGAGAAGGAGGCCGAAAAGTTGATTTGAGATTTTATATATATAGTAGTACTTTTAATGGTTTTATCTCAAAAAGGAAAGAAGAAAAAAAATTGATTTGAAATAAAAAAGCAACACTTGAACTAGGCCTTTGTATTCAAGAGGCAGGCAGGAATACCCACAGTGTGTAACTTGGTTCGCTAGAACTGCTCATTCACTGGCAAAAAAGAGAGCGAGTCTGCCTTTAAAAAATACTGTGTGTCCTGTGAGGTTCATTTGTTCACGTAATAGGTCAAAGATAAATGAAGAGCTTGGCTGAGATGATCTGTTTGCTACCAAGGCAAGTATCACGGAAATGATTGGACTTACTTTTGAACTTGCACTGCTAGGATCCTGCTGTGCTGTTCAGTATTTGGGCTATCAAACTGAATGGGCTAATCAAATACGATTCTCCAGCCCATAAGCATTGTTCTAAAGTATTCATTATTAAATGATATGCTGTGAGAACAATTGACAGTTTACTTTATTAGGCCATGGCCTAGGGGAAGGGGGCCAGGGGACTCCTTAAGACAGGCTACCATGTGTCGCTAATTCTGAAAGATTTTCCTTCTAGTAATGAATACACTCAGTGGGACTGAGGGGTGAGGGAAGGGCAAAATAAAAACAGCCTCCATTCAGCCTCTAGCCCTCAGGGGAAATGAAATCAAATATATAGTTAAGGTACCATTCCTTAAAAAAAAAATCCCATCAGCATCTAATGGGCTTAATTAATCCACAGGAAGATTAATTGCTTAAAATTCTATATTTCCCTTCTCTTCTGGTTCTCAGTTTTAAAAGGGCAGGTAAAATGAAAACAGGATTTACTTTTTTGTTCCTTAATAATTGAACCTTGATTTTAATCTATCAGTCCAAATACATTCAACAATAGCAACCCTCTGTTCAATCTTCTGGATATTTAAAAAAAAAAAAAAAAATCCAAGTGCACTGCCATCCATTTGAAGTAGTAAGTCACAGATAAATCATATCCTATCATTAATGAAATGAAGGAATGGGGACAAAAAGTGGCGGCGAAGGAACATGGGAGACTCCCTCCAACAGGTCTAACGTGTTTTCTAGGAGAAAGAATATTCGTGTGTTAAACCCCCAAAAGCATTAAACATCCAGCATCCCCTATGTGGACATTTCAACAAATATTTTTGCCAAATATGAGACAGGCTCACTCTCCACTGTGGATCTGGAACTTTCAAGAAAAACTATCACCAAGCCAAGTCTGCCTTTTTAAGCCAAGTCTGCCTCCAGGAGAATTTGTGGTGTTTGCTTGTTCTTACTATTGTGTTGTTATGAAAACCAGTAATGAGTTCAGCTTGCACCCCAGGTAGGAAGTTAGAAAGGGGAACCTGTGTAAGTTGAAGTTTGTCACAGTAGGCAGAACAGTCGCTTTGCAGCCCAGGCCCATCTCAGGGTGCACTGCTTCACAGCTACACTGTAAAGTGTTAAAAATCCTCCCACCCACCCCAGAATATATATATATGTATATTAAAAAAAATCCCCTGTCCATCTCTCAGTACACAAAAGGACCTCATCACACTGCAAAAATAGCAGTACCCACTTTGGTCAATTAAAACAAACAAACACACAAAAAAGCATACATTATTTTTTTAAATCTGTGTACTTACCTATAATAACCAATACAGCTAAAAGCACTACCTACATAGGCAAAACTTGGTATTGCATAATTCGTATAAATTTGAAACCCCTCCCCCCAAATATTAATTGGAAGATGAAAAACATGAAAGGTTAATAGAAAAAAACACCAAAATACTGAAAATATTGCTGGTCGATTACAATTTTTAAGCGGCAACTATACACAGCCATGATATGCTTTATAAATGTGAGATAAAGGTATAACTGTCTAAAAAATCCATGATGTCACACATTTTTCTTCGTCTGGAGTACAAAATATTTTGTCATAAAAATGGTAAAGATTTAAAATGATAATAAATGCAGCAAAACAAGTGTAGTGATGTCACTTTGTTGTTTTTTTTTGTTTTTTTTGTGTTTTTTGTTTTTTAGATTTCAAGGCAAGGCACGTAATGTGGACATTATATCTTCGTGCAAATTAGGATTACTGGAAAGAGTATTTTTAATTAAAATTTTAAGAGACATAGAGGCAAAATGTGTCTGCCCATGCACACTATGGATCTGTCAATACAAGAAATTTGTTGAACAAGGCTAATGTCTGAAAGCACCATGCAAGTTTTCAGCACCCTGATTACATTTGTTTTCTCAAGAGTGCGTTTTCTTATATCCTACACCCTGGCGTTCCCAGTTTGTAAACTGTAAGCTTTACCCTTGTGACATGGATTTGCCTGCCTCTTTGTCTCTAGAATGCAGATTTTATAGAACCTTTTATACACCCTATGGGTTCTTGATGCAACCAGTAATTTTAAATAAATAAATTCTACCTCCAAGGAGGCTGCAGCTAAACCAACATAAGTGCTGTGTTTTCATTAATTTTATTTTTCTCAAGCACATGATTTGTCTTGATTTAATGCCTTTTTAATGCCCTCAAAAACTGAGGGGAAAATAAATTCGTTCAAAATTATTTTAAATTCTTTTTAATCCCCTCAATTTAGAGTCCAAGGGCTGAAGGACTTATAATCATGGTTCCCCTTTAGATATAAATTTATAAATTGCACTTGCCTCTGTTAAGTGTTTTTTTTTGTGGGGAAAATATTATATTAATTTTTACTGTTGCATGCAGAGATAACACTTCACCTACATAGAGGCATTTCTTCCATAGAGCCTTTGTGTTCAAACTGTTTTTTTCCTTTTTTCTTTTTTTCCTTTTTTTTTCATTTTTTGTTTTTTTTAAGATTTCAAACTGGGTTACACACTGGAAAAGGCTGGGTTAAGGGCCAAAATTTAATAAATCTGTACTGATAACTAAAGGCTACAGAGACTTTATATATTTTTTTTAACTTTTAGAAATCAGAGTGCTTATAAAACGGCTGGCTCATGGCTCTGTCACCCAGCACCTCTGACACCGCCTCCTAGCCTTCGTTGGTGAATAACCAGGAATAGTGATTCCATGCGTAAACAACAAGAATACTAAACCAATAAAACTAGCTTATCATGCAAATATTAAGGCATCTAGAAAGTCAGTTAAAATATATTGTCATAGAGACAGAACATCTATTTCCCAGCGGACTTCATGTAACAAAGGCTATGTTGCAGGGGCTTCGATCTACCATCAGTGAAATATCATTGACCCTTTTTATGTCATTACAGTTTCAACCTTAAGGGAATTAGTGATTGTAAGTGCTGCAATTGCTGGTCTGTTATCTTCTTTCTTCAGTTTCTTTCCTTTCTCCCTTTGTTTTGTTTTGTCCAGTCTTCCTCTTTTCCTTTTTTTAAAAAAAAAAAAAAAATTTCTTAAACTATCGTTGTGTTTCTTTTTCCCTCAGTTGCTTGTTTCTGCTTGAAGGAAAGGTTCTCCAATTATGTTCAAACCGTAATTTTGGACATTTGCCGGTAAGATGGGTGTCCTATTTGACACTTGGAAAGGAACCAAGCTAGCCCAGGTACCAGGACTGTTGAGAGGAGAGGGGCAGTAGGGAGGGAAGAAAAAAAAGAAAAAAACACAATGTTAAAATCTACGACGATATGAGAAACACAAATTCCAGATGCATCAAATTACTACTATCACTATTTTCAAAATTACAGTCTAATATGAGATAAATGTGCCAAATTTTATGTCTTATACCTATCTACACTCTATAGTCTATATTTTTAATGAAAATTAAGACTAAAGTGAGGCAGAAAAATCCAGGGTAAGATACATAAACAATTATTGAATTCTAATTGATAGAGGATATTCTTTCTAAAATATTTTATATTCTTCAATGTAAATGCAATATGATTCTTTTTTGTACAGTAAAAAATAAAGAAAAAGAAAAGCAGCAATCTGTTGGTACCAATATAGTTTGCCAGTTATACTCTAATCTTGTTTTACCTTTAATTCACAAGCAATTCAGTGGTCAGATGAGTTTCAAATTCTTACCTGCCTATTGGGTTGAATAAAATTGAAAAGTACAGTGGAAGATATTTCTTTTCTCCTTACAACAGGGAAAAGAAAAAACTACATGTTTAAGGTAGGCCCATGCATAATATGCAATTCGAAATGCCCAATTATCAAGCATATCTTAATCAGAGTTTTTTAGTAAAGACCGAACATATGAGAATCATAGAACCAAAATGGAACACAGCTTTTTTGTTCTCTACAGAACACGCATTGTGAGGGAAAACATTTACAGGAGGCCACAAGGGTCTCTGCTCGTGCCTATTAGTTCTATAGTTCTATAGCTCTCCAGCAGTTTTCTTATCCTAACCCTCTTTAACTTACTTTTAGAGAGAACCACAGCCTTTCCTTCCAATTCATGTTTTCTTACACTGGCTTGCAACAGAAGCCCGAGCATCCCCTGCTCCTCCCCTCAGTAATGATACCACATTTGAGCTACCCTGCATGTGGGCAGTTTAGAAGGATAGTTGGGGGGGAGTTGGAGGCAGTAAACAAGATTTCCTGCCCTCCTCTCGTCAGTTCAACTTTCGCCTATGCTGAACTGAGGGCTATTAAAAAGAAAAAAGGCTGGAAAACAATTCCCTAATTGCTACTGGCATAATCTCTCTTTAAGAAGTATCATATGGAGGATAAAAAACATCAGATATACACATTATGAAACAACTCTACAGCACACATTTGGGTACACAGATTAATCTAATGTATTGCTTGTTCCAACACTCAACTCCAAATGAATGTCAGTTAAGTAACAGCTGCATAAATAATCATGAACCAAGAAAACATCAAACTGACAATTCCATACTCCTATTAGTCATGGCCTAGCATGGAGACATACTTTCGATGTTTTAAATTTCATTGAGTATCCTTTGCTTTACTTTTGAAACCATAAAGTGAGATGGACACTATTGTTGTAGCTACCGATCTAGTTATTCTCATTTGTTCATATTTGAATTCCAAAGGTACAAAAACCTTTATGGAATATCAACCTAAAGGAACAATTCTGAATTTTTTTAAAAAACTTGATACATACTGTTTTTACTCTGGTGATACCTCTGTACAAAATGTTGCTTTTTGCTACACATCTACATACATATTCCTGAGTAAACGTTTCAAAAAATATCACAACAACCTTTTATGCTCCAGGGATTTTATAATTAGACTACAAGCCCCATGACAGTAAGATCCATCTCTAGTAAAGTACCTAGCACATGATAGATGCTCAACATATAGACAAACAAATCAATTAATTGTTTCAAATTACATCCAGCTATATATTTTTAAAAGGTGTCAACCAAGATTACATGTACTCATGAACATGTTGTGATTTGGTCCCCTATAAAAAGAAAACAGGCATCTCTGAATTTAAAATGAGAGATATTTAGCACTAACAAAAATTGACTATGCAGGAATAATCACATTCAAACTAAAAAGATATGTCCTCATAATCTGATGAAAAAGCATAACTTTAGAATATTTGTTATTAAAACTTTCACTAAGGAGCTTAACTGTTTTCACATATTTCTCTTCCCACACACGTCTTCAACAATTATTTTTGTGCTTTGCAACACTGATTGAAAACAATGTTACATAATGAATCATGAAACTTATTTTACCCTCAGCTGTGTTTCCACTGTACTCTGTACATGGTCCTGTTACAGTATTTATTACTTCATAAATAGCTCTATCTGTGATTATCTTACTGACTGAAAGGTGAACTTCATAGAGAAAATGACCTAGTCATATCTATCTTTATAGAGTCTGAGCATAGCTGATGATATTTCTTAACAAATAAATTACAAAAATGGGTATACATTATTTTTAACCTGAAGTAAGAAGCGTGAACCAAAAGCAAAAGACTAGGTAAAACAGATAATCCTTGACAGTAAAAACTGGCATCAACAAGCAGCAAACTGCTTTACAGAATTAACAAGAGTCCCAAATTATGTGAGCTCAAGAAAGTCATTTGGAGATTGCATGCTTTAGGGATATAAAGCATATTTTAATGATTGAAAATAGATGTGGCTTCTTAAATGGACAAGTCTACCAACTAATGGCAGAAAAGACAATAATTCAGTGTTATTTTGCAATAGCTTTCTCACTCAGTTCTTTGGAAGGGACATATGCCATTATTCTTTGGAAAATGTTCAGTAAAAATAAATTGATGCTAGTCAGTAACAGGACTCTTACTGCAGAATGCCTAACAAATTTAATTTAAACGTTTATTTAAACCTGTCAAACTGCCCATCCTACATTATGATCATATCAAAATTGCAGAGTGCAATATATTTGTCCATACTGTTTATGAACCTTTTGGGGGAAATAAATCTCAAACATTAACACTACGCAGACCCCATATATGAGTTTTACAAGTCTCTTACTGCCAATTTGTAGGTTAAGTTCAGAGCTATAAGGCACAGACATTTTTTAGACCTTTTTTGGTAGTCCTGTTGAAGAAAAAAAACTTGGTAAAACTAATTCAACAACTGTGATAACAATGTAAATAAATATTTATCAAAGTAATCTAGATTATTTAATTTTCCAAAATACAATGTCTAAAATTACATACTTATTGAGGTAAAAAAGTCATAGTGCTTTTTATACATCTAACTCTTTCTCTATATAAATATCAATGACAATAATCACATGTATGGATAAAATAAACACACATAAACAAATTAGTTATATGTCAAATGCTTAATAGTTTTAATTCATAGTGGGAATTTCTATATGGATAATCTTATGTTCAATCCAACTATCTGCATTCCATCAAGAGACATGAGAATACAATTGAAAGGATTTCAAAATATCCAAGCTCAAATTAAGCTACTTCAGCAATATATCTTTAAGTGTGCATTTACTTTGTTTTGATCAAATTTTTCATTGCCAAATCACATTTGTTTAGGCAAACAGAAGATAAGCATAGCTAAAAGCTGAAAGCACATCTTTAGAAAATATAGACATATGGGCCGGGCGCGGTGGCTCACGCCTGTAATCCCAGCACTCTGGGAGGCCGAGGCGGGTGGATCACGAGGTCAAGAGATCAAGACCATCCTGGTCAACATGGTGAAACCCCG